AACTATTAGTACTTGCAAAAACACTTTAAATAACTTGAAAGTTAATCACGAGTATAAATAATAAAATACATTATTTATTTTGAGGATCAACATGACATTTTTAATCATATTACTATGTATACCGAAGTAGTATTTAACATTAAAAAAATATTGTGTAATACCAGATAAGAATTTTCTTCTGTTGGACAACTTTCTCCATAAAAATGTAGTGAACAAATATAAGTATCTTTAGGAACATCATCAATCGATCGAAAACCGCTGTCACTTCGACCACATTTTTTCACTCATAATGCACATTTTGAACATGTTTTAATATGAATTTTGCCTGATAATTTGATAATTTTTTACGATATTGCAGCCAAAGCCTTGTAAAATATATAAAGTAATATGCATTGCCTTTGAATGATTGTGTGACTTTTAAACAGGTACTCTATAATTTCGTTCTTCCTTTCCGTACAGATAACACAATTATTATAATTGATTGCAAAAATGTATTTTTTAATTAAGACACTAAACTTATTATTACTTTGCTTGTTCCTCCTTTTTTTAAATGAATATACTTAAATTAGTATTTATCAATTATAATTTTTTAACATGCTTGTTTACAAAAACAGTACGAAAAAGATGGCTGACACAGACGCATGCGCACAAAAAAAATTGTGATGAAAAGGCCTATTATTTCTGTTCGGTTTTAGTTTCTCGAAGTCGCCTCTAGATAGAAGCAAAAAGTCTCGTCGTTCGGAATCTGTCAATTTGGAAATCTTTCATGATAAACTCAAACACTCTCACGACAGTTTCCATTACAGAAACCAAGCAACAGCAACATATTAGTTTGTTCATTAAATGTGTACCTATACAATACATAAAATGAGTAGTATTGACAATTTTTACAGTTCTACACCATATCTGTCAAAATTATAATAGTATATTATGCAACGATCATGTAATGATAGCTATTAAGACACGAGCTTGAGGTAAGTTACGACACGAGCCGCATGCGATTGTCGTAAATCTTATGCGAGTTTATTAATAGCCATTACATAAGAGTTGCATACACTATTTTTTCTACGACCAAGAAACTAGCATTGCTTTATTTTTTAATACTTTTTTATATAAACAATAATAAATAAAATATGAAAGAAAAATAAGTTTTTCGACTTAAATTTTATTCCTACAAAATAACTACTAACAATAAACATAAACGAATTCATATTAAAATTAAACAAGATACATTACATTTTAATCAATTTTGTTTAAATACAAATTTTGAATAGTACAATTATTAAAAACTTACTTGAGGTGTACCATCTTTAGTCACAAACGAATTTGTACTCGTAGATGAAGAGGGCAAATTAATATGAATTTCATTATTTGTATTATCAATTGAATTGAGATTTTGATTAGAAATATTAATTTTACTCTGTATTGAATTGTCTATATAATTCTCGGCAACCGCAGTTGACTTCCAACCGCCGTGTCGTTTTAAAGTCGTGATGTCGCCCCCTGCATCGTCTAACAAAGTGACAGAGCAGAGCTTCTACGGAAGCAGTGCCCTGTATATAAATTTGGGTTTTGAAGATTTAGATATGTAGCTATTTCTTTGCCCAAATTTCCGAATTTATTTATACCGATATTTTGTTGTACACATTTTCCGTTTCGGTATAGCAAATAAAAAGAGATTGTGTGGTACTATCTTTCGGCCTTAAATTTATATATTTTTTACAAATAATATAGTATTTTCCTGTTACTGTAAACGTTCTTGCTATTTTGGTTTTCGTGTTAAGAATATTTATTATGAAATTGTCCTTAAAATCTTTGACGTTTTGAAATTTTAAATCATGCAGTTCATGTCTTCTGTATGCTCCCATAATTCCAAAAATTAAAGCTACCTGCAAAAAAAAAACAATTTTAATCAAAAAAAAATAAATGAAAGACAATATTCATCATTTTTGTGCTTGTTTAGTTTTAATTGAATAAATAAAAAAAAAAATAAAAAAAATGCACTGAGCGGGTCTCAAACACGGCATGTACAGATTGAAAACAATCTTTGTCAGCGCTGTTACACACTGAGCTACGCGCCTGCATTGACAAATCATCAACATAAAGCATATTATATACGTATGTTACTGCTATGCAAAATAAGTAATAAATTGTAAGACATATGTATTTACCTTAGTCATTACGTATTTTTGGTCTGGTGCTTCATCAAGAAATTTTTTAATTTCTTCTGGCAAAAAGGTTTTTGATTTTTTCCGCTATATCCTTCGGATTTTCTTTTTAAAAATGCTTGCAATTTTGGATATTTGCTAATATCAGTTTCATGTTTAATATTGAGTTGGGTTTTTAAAATAGAATAATGTGTCCAGAGAGATGAGGATTTTAATTTAATTGAGAGTTCTTCAAAGTATACTAGCAACACATTTTCAGACAAGGATGATACTGTTCTTGCTACCTTCCAATCCATAAATTGACTATAAATTTTATCATATACCTACCTTTTTTGATTTAGCTGGTAATAAACTATCGCTTACATTTTTCGCCTTTTCAGCGATTTCAGGTGGTGTACCTGAAAACTCTTCGTCGCTCGACATTTTTTTAAAAATTAGTGAGACCTATCTACCTTTTTGGCTAACGCGAAAGATTGAAACTGTCATAAAATACGAATCTCTTAGAAACTGTAAAACATTCTACAGAAAATATTGGGTCTGCCTACTTGGTTATTTAAAAATCTAGATTTCTATAGTATCATTATGAAACTGAAAATTAGCATTTAATTAACAACTTATAGTACAGGAGTAGAAAAAATTTATTGTAGACAATCGCCAACTTAGTTTTCTTGAAAATTTGAAGTCTAACCATCTGCTTGAATAATTGAGATATAATAAAGAGGAGATGCTATGACGATGCTAAATTGTCCGCACCTTTTTATTACATTTTTACGTCAATGTCAAATTCGACATGGTGTAGCTGGTCAGTTTTGGTGAAAATAAATGCCATTTTTCGTTAAGTAGCTTCATATAATAATATAAAATTATTTTCATTCCGTCAGTCTTTAAATATAAAATTATTGACTTTAAATAAATTAAAGTACGACTCAAGTCGCCTTTTTGATTACACTTTTCCGTCACTTGAAGTGCGTACATTTTGTCATATCGCAAAATAGTGTTTATGTCGTCTCTACTTTATTCTATCTCGATGTCTTGAATTGTTATTTTTTATTCGAATGTGTCAAAAAAACGTCGTTTTTCGGACAGAGAACATAGTTGAAAAGTTGAACTTTTGTATATAATTCTGCCGTGGTTTGAATATCCACATCCGATGCATTTTTTACATCTCTTGCGTTTTTTTATTCATTTACAACTTCTCAGATGCATCCGATGTGGCTATTTAAATGCGGCATTCATAAAGTACTTTATCGGCCATGGAATCTAAAGTTAAGTGTATAGAGCGTTGCATACCGATTAGAATTCTCCTATCTGTGGTAGTTCTTTCATATACCATTTTTGATTGTTTTGGAATTAAATTCAAAGACGTCAAATTTGCCGCGTCTCTAATTTCTGGGGGCGTGTCCGTAATGAATTCTTCGTTACTACTCATTTTTTAATTTTTTTTTACACCAATTTTCAATAAACTAGGTAATTAAATTAATTTGACATGAGCATCACATTGACACGACAGAAATTGTTCTCTTAGCCAACTGAGTTAAGGAAAAATTATTGGAAATAATATCATTTCAGATTTAATTTTCTATATATTTTTTATTCGAATAAAAAAATAATTTACGAAACACGGACGAAAGTATTTTTTTCGGACTCCTACGAGTTTCCAGACTCGACTACGTCTCGCCTGGCAAGCTTCTCGTAGTCGTCAGAAAAACTCAACTTTTCGTCCGTGTAATATATATACTATTTGAGTCGTTAAAAAGCGACAGTGTTCAGGTTGCGTTAATTATAACCGCCAACTTAGTTTTCTTGAAAATTTTAAGACACTAACCATCAGTCCATCATTTTTTTTTTACTTAAGTACTATGAGATATACATGTTTTTTTGAAAGAGATAAAAAATGATACAATTGAATACAGCTCTCCATAAAAATAAGGGAACAGGGACGACCCTCAAAAAAAATACGATGTCATTTATGGTAGGATAATGCTACCATTTGAAAACGCGCGACAAAGGTAGACGACAGACAGCAAGTGGCAAATCCTACCGTACTAAAAGTGGTGTTGTCTTTTGTGCCTTCCCAAATGTGTTTCATACAATTATATGTGTTCACACATGATGACACCCTTTTCGGTCTCCTTCGGTGTCGCTTCGCGTTTGAAGTCGCTCTCGGTCTCGCTTTCCCAAATGGTAGCTTTAGGGTGGTTTATACCCATCCATGATTTTAGTTGGTGTAATTTTTGCTTTGAACAATGGATCTTCAATGAAAATAGCTACTTACGAAATTTTATAAAAATCGAACGAAGCGTTTTTGGGTTATTAAAAAAAAATGAAAATGTTCTTTCAACTTTCAAGCTTCCTCACAGGATAATATAATCTCTGATGAACTTATAGCAGACTTACCACAACCAGATAAAAACCTAGAGTAACAGAGTATATTACGAGATTTATTTTATAAAATAATTCCAAAGACAAAGTATAGGTACAAAATAATTACTCTCTATGAATAGGAACCAGTTGAAAATAATGACGTAATTTATAACAAGAGATGTAAGTACTAGTAAACGAACACCTGAATAACATGGGAATGTATAATTTCGATTATCTGTGGATATACATAGTTACTTATTTATCTCGATGTCAACTTCTATATTTTTGTAATCTCCACATGAAAATACGTTTGAATAAAAGACTATAACCAATAGGGTGCAATCTCGGAAACAATGTACTAGAAAGACCGTATTTCATAAGATCTCAAGTAGGTACGCTACATCTACGTAAATCATTAAGATATCCAAATGTAGCAGGGTAAGATATGACAAAACTAGACACTCTTCACCTTTGATCAAACATTTTTAATATAAAACATCATAATTAAAAAATATTACACTTTTCTTAAATACTACATTCACATTATATTCTACGTATTATCATAAAGACTAGGTATCGAAAGTCATCAGAAGAATACTATTTTTTATTATTCTTGGGTGGTTCCAGAATCTAAAAAAACAACTTATTAAAACAGTAGGTTTTAGATTTTTCAATAAATAAAACTTACCTGAAATTGACACAACAAATCCTCGTTTATGGACATTAACGCTCCAGCGTTATCGAATGTTCCACAGTAATTGGGTGCTGAGAATATTGTAATGAGTTTTCGTTGTGCAAAAAATTCGTATCCATCCTCAACCACCTAAAAAATTTACAGTTTCTAAATAATAAATAAAAGAAGCAATTAAAGCTATAATTAATATTTATACCATTTATAGAATCCCGGAAAAAACGCAAAGGAAATAAGTGCACAGGAAATATCTGCACAGAAAAAAGCGTAAGTGCACAAGAAATAACCGTACGTGGGAAAATGTGAACACGGACAAAACCACACACGAAAAAAAACCTCACAGGTATATAAGCGCACATGGAAAAAAGCACAAAAGTTCCTTTTTCACCAAACGTCAGTAAAAGTATAATTTTTTTCTACACCCGTATTATAATAATGCACTTATATGCCCATAATCCGTTTCATAATGATACCCATTATGATACAGATTTTTCATTACGATACAGATTTTTAATCAATAGAAACCTACTATTTTTCAATCAAGCATGCTGTTTGACGTTTGTCCTAGGTTTCTATGTAATTGTTTTAGTTGTCAAAACGTATTAAATTTTCGTAGATAGCTAAACTTCGATAATTATAATATTAAAATGTCTCATATCAGCGATATCCACACATATCGGAGAAAGCAGAAAATACAGTACAAAATATTTATATTTTGCAGCAAAAATCTAGGGAAATACCAATACCCGAAGTAATACCATTAATTACAATTTTGTAGAATTTTTTATAGAAATACGAGTAATTACTGTTATTGTGTTCAATACCAATATAAATATAATATTTATAGGTCTTGATTCTTTATCGGGTGTAGAAAAAATAGCGTATGCAACTCTCATGTAATGGTTATTAAAACACTCGCATAGACCATACGAAACTCGCCTTTGGCTCGTTTCGTATCCCGGTTAATGCTCGTGTATTAATAACCATCATTACATGATCGTTGCATAATATACTATTTACGCATGCTGTCAGTGTCTAAAATGCCATTTTATGACACTGGGGTTAAAAGTAAATCACTTTTAACACTAGTGCTAAAAGTGATTTATTTTTATGAGAAAATATAAAAACATAATTCAAAATGAAGTGTTTATTCAGTTAAACTTACAATTAGTGAAACTACAATTATAATAAGAAACTCCATGGCCAGTCTCATTGGTAGATGTAACAGAATTTATTTTGGTGAAGCTTGTACCAGGGCAGAGAGCAATGTTATCCAGCGGTAGAAATTCATTTTCTTTCCATCGAGGAACGAAGAAACGAGAAAGAATAATTCGTCATTTATTAACGTTAATTGTCAAAAAAGACAAATCAACAAATTCGGTTTTTGTTTACCTTGGCAACTTGTTTCATTAACAGATTAGATGAAATTGGATTCAAAACTGATAATCTCGAGGCTATTATTTTATCAATTAATTAATGTAAAATAGGTATGCGCTAATTTGGATTTTTAATGGTGTTTGTAGAAAAAATAGTGCATGATATACGTGCTAAAAGTGATTTTATTTTGTTTGAAGGGATGGAACACTTCGCCTTCGGCGTCGTGTTCCAAACTTCCCTTCTCACAAAATAATATATCATTTTTAGCACTTATATCATAAATAACTATTTTTGTTCAATAAATTTTTTGAACAATCTTCGAATAAATAATTAAAAAAATATAGTGCAGTTTACTGAATTTATGGAAGAATTTATGTTTGTATTAGCATATATTTTAAGATTGTTTTTCTTTCGGCAGCACACTAAAACCTGGATGGCGGCCTTGGTTTCCTTTATAGCTATGCTTTTTTGAGTAAAATTTCAGGTAATTTGTGTTTCTCAACCGACTTCATAAAATGTATATTATTATTATAATCGTTAACGATTTGTAATAATTATATTTATAAGTTGGCTCTGTTTCTTGTTATTTTTCTACAGAACTGGCAACAAACTGGTAAAGTTTGTTTCATTCCTTTTTAAATTTGTTGGAAACGTAAACAGTTTGCCGAATTAATTTTAACATATGAATGGGCTTGAAAATCTGATAAAATATCTACAGAATTATATAATGGAAATATGTATTTTTTTCTACGACCATACAAAATTTTATTTTAGTTTGTCTTAGTTTTACATTTTACATTCACATTTGTCTTATGTTTCTTGTACCCAATGAATTGTAAAAGAAAAAAATACCTATGTACGTGTTAAGTTAAATCTATGTTACGCTGAAACCTTTTCTTCAAAATTTCATTTAGTTTTTTCGGAAAATAAAAAAAAATTGAAAATTGTCAAAATAATCGAAACTGCAAATGTTTTAACTAAATCAAATTTTGGAAAAGCAGCTTCAGACGAACACGACAGATTTAACCTACACGTACGTATTATTCGCCAGAAGCTTGCTTAGCTATAAGTAATTATTTCGTACAGCTGCGTACAGACCATGTCAACGAAGGCCAACGAACGGCATTCGGTTCCCAAACATTCATTGGTCGTCGTTAATATACATGCATTTGTTGTTCGATCAGACGTTTGTTGGGTCACACATGCGGATTAAATGTGCATTATGATATGATACTCGTATGGACATCCGTTCACATTTCATTCGCTCGAATCTCCCATTCCTTTGATGTTACCGCTACGATTCCGAAGTCGGGAAACGCCAGCGAACCTTCGTAGACATTCGTTGATACGATCTTTACGCAAGGTCTGTTCTGGTTTTGAGAAATAACGATCCACAACTGTCGGGCTCATGCGCAGTAGATAAAAAGTGTTCTGGTTTTTCTGGGACTACTTCGGATCTCTCAGTCCAGTGTTCTGGTTTCGTATCCGAAATAATCCGTGATTGTTGTAAACAGTCAAAAAGTGTTCATGCTTGGGAGTGTGGATCGACTCGGACTGTTTTGACCGCGCATGCGTTTTTGAAGTGTTATGAATATTGTATTGGCTTTTTAGACTATACGAAACGTATACAATCCCAAATTGTTTATTTATATGTGGACGAATGTCTCTTGTTCTTGTTTTATTTGTAAATTAAAGCAATTTTAGAATTATTAATTTTTTAATATTATTCTGTTTTTATTTATTCCATTGAAAATGTGATGATAATGGTAAACATATACATGCAAATGTTATTTGAAGCTGAGCTTTCAAAAGGAACTTCATTATTATAATAAACAAAACACCTTTATGACGTGTTCTGGTTTTCCAACAATTTCAAACAGTCGGGGATTTTTTGCCTTTACGCATACGGTCCGGCGCAGTTTCAAAACAGTTTTCATTTTGAGAACCAGAACAAACCTGCAGCTTAATACTGATTATGCAGTGTCCAAGATTATTATTTTTTATAATTGCTTAAAATTTTAATTTGATTGTTTTTAAAGTTGCATTATTAATATTAGCGTCAGCAACTGCTCTGATTTATTTAAAAAATGTCTACAAAATCTTAGGTCATCTTTTATAGTTTCAAATTCATTTGTAACTAAAAATAAACGCAATTAAACTCCCACCTCAAGTGTTATTTTTTCTTTTAATAATTTCTATTGTTTCTACTTATTTAAAAATTACAGACATAAATCTAATAACTGAGCTCACGAATGTCGTGATAATATATGACAAGCAACATTAATGTGTATTATCAGAACTGTAGGGGTTTGAATAGCAAAATGTTTTTTCAGAAATTCTTGGTTGAAAGAGGGAGTTAAAGATAAATTGTTGATACAGATTCATATAATGTGGTAAGAGCTGATAGAAATTTGCAGATTACAAATAAATCTAAAGGAGGAGTTCTTATTGCTTTGAAAAATAAATATAAATTAACAAAAATCATTAGGAATTGAAATATATTTGAATCCTTAATGTACAATTTAAGATGAATAACGAAAAATTTACTTTTATTACGCGCTTGTAGCCAGTTATGTAGAAAAATATCAAGAAACAGAGTACAAATTATCTTACTTAAGGAGAACAACCTATTTACAATAATAGTTATGTTGTTTTTTTATGTTTTGTAATATAATTCATTTATTCGTTTTTAAGGTTCCGTACCCGAAGGGTAACCAACGGGACCCCTATTAGGCATTCCAAACAAAATGGTTGCCCATAGGTAATGACAGGCCACTGACAGGTTATGATATGCTGTAGGCCTGGTGATTTGACAAGGTCAATGAAATAAATAGTTACATAGATAGATTAGATAGATAGATAGATTTTTAAAAATAAACAAGCTTATGCCTTGAAGTTGATATATGCTCGAAGCTGAAGTAAAAATGTACGTAATAATTTTTTTTAGTATATTCAAAGGCGAGAAATTGGTTTTAAAACACATTTTTGCTAGGACGATTCAAATTAATGAACACTTGCCAGGCAATATGGCCGCTCGCAAACGACCCGTTTTGAGCAATCTATAAAACTATCGGGATTATGATGGACAAATAGTGTTATTTTTAACAGACACGTTATTTGTATACATGTTGTTATTTCTGTGTGTTTATAAAATAACAGACTTGTTAAAAATAACACAGGTTATTAAAATTAATATTTATCGAGTATAATTTTTTTCACGTGGACATTTTAACATGCTTGTTAACAAAAAACAGTACGAAAAAGATGGCTGCTACTGACGCATGCGCACAAAAAAAATTGTGATGAAAAGGCCTATGCTAACAGGCCCACAGGGTTGCCATATCTAAACTGTCAGTTCCCACTGGCGTTTTGACAGGTCGTTGGAATGCCTAATTACCAAGCCTCTGCTGCCAGTCCGGCTGTCTGTCAGCAGGCTATATGTCATGATTCTTAATAGGTAGACAGTTGAAATTTTCACAGAATATGTATTTCTGTTGCCGATATATTAAAGGGAGCTCCTCTACTAGAAACGTGTTTATTTTTGGCTTTTTTGCTCGATCTTAATAAAGTATTTAAAAAGTACTTACATAGTATTAAACCTTCTAAGATGATGCGGAACCCTTTATGCGCGAGTCCGACTCGCACTTGGCCGTTTTTTTAATGTATTAATATCGAATAAATATATTACACTAAAAACGATTATGCATTTTACGTCTGTCCCTATATATAAAAAAAATAATATTTATAAACAGAAATCCATGAACGATTAGAAAATTGAAATAAAACAAAAATCAAGAGAGGATTGCATGATTGCAAAAATATTTAAGTTTCAAAGATACACTATGTACATATACAAAACCGCCATTTTACATTATTGAAAAAAAAATTATTACAAACCGTCAACGTATATAATATAAATATTAATTTATTGAAGTCTGATAAAAAACACTAAATACCTAATATTTTACGCAAAAAAGGCAAAACAAAAAATGTCCAGCTATAAAGGAAACCCTATGGACGCCATACAGGTTTTAGTGTGCCGCCGAACGAAAAACAATCTTAAAAATATGCTAATACAAACATAAAGTTCACTGTAAATTCAGTAAAATGCAATATTTTTTACATTATTCAAAGATTAGTCAAAAAAATTAATAAACAAAAAACTAACTTTTGCGATTTTTTTCATGTGCGCTTTTATACCTGTGAGGTTTTTTCCATGTGCCCATCTTTCCAAGTGCGGTTATTTCTTGTGCGCTTATATGACTGTCAGCTTTTTTCTGTACGGTTATTTCCTGTGCGCTTATTTCCTTTGCGCTAATTTCCGGTCACCCATTTATCGATAAGCACCAACTAATATGAATAATCCTTACCTGATGACCTCTACATATGAGGTCGAAATCGTGTTTTCTTAAAAATTTATTGATAACATCAGGACCAAACGAAAAAGAGACACCCCTGTCATTGGCTGTCCAACCTAGTTCAGGGCTTGGGTCAGACCACAGCAAATCACAGAGTAAACCTAAAAAACAACACATTTTTAATTTAAAAAAATCACATACTTTGATTACTATACGGGGCAAGAGAGAGGTCCGACACGCCCAACATAGGGCGCGGCCATTTTGAACCCTATGACACAGTTTATAGCTAAAGAATCAGATCGCTCACTCTGCGTCGACACTTTTTATCTCAATGTTCCAGTTTATACACTGCGCAACTCAGATAATACAATATATGACAACCGCCTATAATAAAACAGCAGTCTTCTGCGTATCCTGAATTTGTATCCCTGGAGTGGATGTTATTTTGGAACTTTCAACTGGTCCGAGTGAGCTAACTGATTCTTTAGCAATAAACTGTGATTCCAAAAATAATTAGGCATTCCAACGACCTGTCCAAATGGCTACCAGTGGGTACTGACAGTTTAGATATGGCAACCCTGTTGTCATGTTGTCATTAACAGGGTCAATGATACATATATGTTATATACATTGCTCGAAGCTGGTCGTTTGTGAGCAGCCATATTGCCTGGCAAATATTTATTAATTTGAATCAGTTTAGCAAAAATGTGTTTTAAAACCAATTTTCAGACTTTAGATATTTAAAAAATAATAATTGCTTATATTTTTACTTCAAGGCATAAGCTTATGTTTATTGTAAAAAATAGGGATGATCAATCTATGTAACTATCTATTTCACTCACCTTGTCAAATCACCAGGCCTACAGAGTTGCCATAACTTTGCCACATCATAACCTGTCAAAACTCACTGGTAGTCATTCAGTTTGGAATGCCTAATATTCACTGACACTGACAGCAGCAAGCAAAATATCAGGTGCGTTTTAATCATCCGCTTCTGCTTCCGGAATTGTCGGTTCAGTCGTTCTAACCTGTCAGATTAAAACAAGAAAACCGACTCCGAAGCAGAAGCGGTTGATTAAAACCCACCTATTAAAAATATTGCGCCAAGATGTAGGCAACACGTAATAAGGGTTCAAAATGGCGGAGTTTTCTATCTCCTTTTAAAAGGCACTCAGAAAGCTGCGCAGTGCGACCATTCTCCGCATAGTAAAAGAAAATCAAAGTATGTGAAAAAAATACAACAGTTTGTAAATAACAACAGATAAAGGGAAAGAAATGCCCCAAGTCCTCTGACAAAAAACTATCGCATTTTTAGTTACAGTTTGCACGTGTCTTCTTATTTCAGTTGCGCTTTGTTGTTGCTTAGCAGCGTAAACTTTATTAAGGTGCGTTTACACGAATACAAGAAGTCACTTAAAAAGTAAAATTACGTTTTACATTTTGTCTACAAATACTAGAACAATTTACTTTCGTACTTTATAGATTGGTTTTTAGCGTTTTTAGAGTTTTTAAAGATAATCCAAATTCGTGAAACAGATTCTTTGTTAAAAAAATATATTATAACAAGAGGCACAGGTACTTAATATTTATTGGATAACTCATATAAATTTTTAGGGTAAAATGGAAGGTTTTAAGAAAGGCCTTCGTCAAGCAGCGAAGAGCCAGTTGACTGCGGTTGATGATGATTAATACGAAACATAATCTACAATCCATACCTTGTACGGGTACGTCAATAGGTCGTTTAATATTTCGAATTTGACCTATATGTAAGAGATCTGGACTCAAACCTCCATGGCAGCAAAATATTTTGTCATCAATAATGGCAGCAACGGGTAGAGTATTAAACACATCAGTGAACAATTTAAATATTTTTGTGTTGTATCGTCGTTTACCTAAAACAATAATGTTGAAATTTAGTTATGAACAAAATAAAAAAAATGAACAATCAAGAAATTTGAAAGACAATGTCACAAAATATACGAGGGATCGTTTCCATACAGAAAACAAATAACCCTCTGGCTAGTATCTCAACAGGCATTGAACTAATCTATAATTAAATCTGATGAACGATTTTGTACATCAAAGTAATTTATATATTTCTAGAAACCACAGGATAAAGAACAATACAAAAAAGAAACATAGAGCTAAAACAGGGCCCTAGCAACCGAAGCCACACCTTCTTCAACATCATTGTCAAAAGTGAACCGTTTGGTACCAATCGATTAAAACGTACTTTGACAGAGATCGTAGATTTGTTACTTGTTCGAAGTGCAACAGTGCACACTTTTTTAACAGATGAATGAAGCTGTCGCTGTCAGAAAATCAATATTTTTTTGCCTGTCGTGTCTTTATTTGTCGTTTTGGATTTTTGGTTGTTTTTAGCGAATATTCTGATAACTTTTACGTATTTTTAATGGTTTATTTTTAGTTTTTGTTGCTGTTTTTAATTGTGGAGTGTTAATTTAAGAGTTTATTGTACGTATTAAGATTAAGTTTATAAACAATGCCGCGTCAAAGAGGAGGAGGATATATTTGTATTTATCGTGCCTCAAGAACAGGTGGCAAAGAAGGATTGTTCACTCTTGTGAAAGATCCCGTGAGGTATGTATGAAACATTGAGGGTGAAATAGAAATTGACCTTGCCATAACATTGTAGTAGGTACAATGATTGTAAATATTTTTCAGACTTCACTTTTCAGCAAATAGAGAGGACTTATTGGGAAAGAGTGTTGAACACTTAAGTAAAAATTACACATTTTGTGAACTGCATTTCCTGTATAAATTCGTTTATCAGTCAGGAATAAGAAAACGATTATTTGCAAATGCATTCCCAACAGTATTTCCCAATTCAGAACCTACGAAAAGAGTCACAGTTTTGCAAGTTAAAATAAAGTAGTTTTATTAGTTAGGTTAGTAAAAAATACAAATATTGTGACAATAAATGGGTGACTAAATGCATATCTAGTTGAAATTTAATAATTTAACAACATTCAATCTGCTGTACTGCTAGAATGACCTAGTGCAGTTTACCTCCTAGGCACAGAAATATATTCACATTTTATGAAATTATTTTAAATTTCATCTGGCTCAAGTGTGACTCAAACATTTAATTCTGACAAATGATGCACTTTCTTGACACTAGTTGATCTGATAAAAATTTGATTTCTCTGTCTTTTTTTAAGGAATTTGTTGTTCATGGCGAAGAAAGCAAGGACAACTTATGTTTAACCTCAACTTCAGCAGAAGCAGAATCTATTGAACAAGTGCATAGTCAACCATCTGTTCCTCTACTGCGACCCAAACATGCTGCTTTGTGTACTTATTGAATATCTAATAGCAATAAAACATATTTAATAAAGTACTTTATAATTTAAACCAGGTAATTTCGGGATGATAGTACGAAATGAGACTATCAATAATTGGTTTGGGAGAGTCCGTACAAACTGAAACTAAAACAGGTATAATTTTTACATCGTACAAACTGAGACAGTACGAAGTGAGACGATACTTTTATAACAATAAAACAATTTTATTACAAAACCAGTAACCTAAAATACTTCTAAATTTCAATCAAATAAATGCATGCTACTATCGAGAACAATTTCAGGAAACTTTTATTTTCAGGATGTAAGAGCGGCGATTATCACGATGATATGAACCATGGCAACTTCATGAAGTGGATACATACCCAGATCTTGCCCAACTTACCGGAAAAGTCGGTCCTGGTACTAGATAACGCATCCTATCACAATGTGACAGTTGAAAAAAATGTAACGTCTGGTAGTCGTAAAGCGGTTATGATTAAGTGGCTACAGGAGAATAGCATCCCGTTTAACGACACATTGACAAAACCAGAATTATACAAAATTATTCAAGAACATAAACCACGGTTTCCACCTGTATACTTATTGGATAAGCTGTTAGAACAACACGGACATAAAGTTCTTCGCTTGCCATATTATCATCCAGAACGTAAGGCTATTGAAAAAATATGGGCCTTGGTTAAAAATTGGGTGGCATCTCACAATACAACTTTCGTGTTAAACGATGTAGTAAGTTTAGCACGAACTCAAATTTGCTGATGTATCGATAAAGGAGTGGGCTAACATATGTAGCCATGTCAAGAAGTATGAAGACGCTCAAATCGAAAAGGAGCATAATTTAAAATATACGCTGCGTAAGTTAGATTGTTTAGTGGATACAATTAAGTACATTTAGTAACCTGCATATGTATTCTAAATTAAAAAAGCATAACAACTTACGTACCTATTGTACAAAACAAATTAATTACCTTTCGAATTTTGATAATTACATGCATAAAAAAAGTATTTATATTTTTCATTTATTTTCGTCCCCCGCCACTGACAAACAAAGCTCGCCTATATGCGCAGATTAGTATGCAACCAACATTTGCTGTCCCAAAAGTTTGTTCTACTCTACGTTCGCGTCACATACTTTGATTTTCTTTTACGTTCGCGTGTACTGTGAATAGTTACGTTTTCTCAGAGTATCTCTGTGGTGGAACTGAAGGTCAAATATTTCTATCCCTTATACTTCAAAGTTCCGACCATTACTTTCTTTTCTGTATGCGCTAGTTCCACATACTTTGATTTTCTTTTACTTTACGGAGAATGGTCGCACTTCGCAGCTTTCTGAGTGCCTTTTAAAAGGAGATAGAAAACTTCGCCATTTTGAACCCTTATTACGTGTTGCCTACATCTTGGCGCAATGTTTTTAATAGGTGCGTTTTAATCATCCGCTTGTGCTTCGGAATTGTCGGTTTTCTTGTTTTAATCCGACAGGTTAGAACGACTGAACCGACAATTCCGGAAGCAGAAGCGGATGATTAAAACGCACCTGATATTTTGCTTGCTGCTGTCAGTGTCAGTGAATATTATTTTTGGAGTCACAGTTTATTGCTAAAGAATCAGTTAGCTCACTCGGACCAGTTGAAAGTTCCAAAATAACATCCACTCCAGGGATACAAATTCAGGATACGCAGAAGACTGCTGTTTTATTATAGGCGGTTGTCATATATTGTATTATCTGAGTTGCGCAGTGTATAAACTGGAACATTGAGATAAAAAGTGCCGACGCAGAGTGAGCGATCTGATTCTTTAGCTATAAACTGTGTCATAGGGTTCAAAATGGCCGCGCCCTATGTTGGGCGTGTCGGACCTCTCTCTTGCCCCGTATAGTAATCAAAGTATGTGGGTCGGACCCACATACTATTTTTCTATTTTTTATGTAAATATGACAGTTATACGAAAAAGTCTATAAATATAAAAGTGATTTTATTTTACCACTTTTAACACTTGTGTCATAAATAGCTATTAACTATGTGCAATTCCTTTTCGCAGTTTTGATTTCTAGTTCAGTTCTGTTTGATAGGTATTTATTCTGATTGGACTATGTACCTACTTTCGGAATATTTTACGGTATCTATTACTTATACATAGATATTCTATGTACTGATAAATTAATCTTTATATATTATACTCATATTTTATTATGTTTTTCGTATCTGATCAAATTATTTCCTACTGGGTACATACCTAGATTAAAGTATTTACTGTTAAGACACTATTTTTATAACGTGATTACATATCTGATACCTTCTTAGATTTAAAATAACTTTAATAAGGATTAAGTATGCAACTTTTCCACACTCACAACACAGATAGGGTAAAGACATGTTAAAATATTACAAAATTGCTTGAGGTGATTATAGCACCCCTTTATAATTTTCGGACAAGGATATCTCGATAAGTAATTTTTTTAAAAAATTAAAATTTTGGCAAAATATATTAGGCAATAATATCTAAAATATGCATATATTATAAAGTTTTAATTCCTTCCAGTTTCCGAGAAAAAAATCAAAGGGCTTTAAATTTTGAAATATAATGAAAATAAATGCATTCCTCAACAGCACTATTCTTAATATAATCCCGAAATTTGAGCTCTTGATGTCTTTTTAATGATTGCTTTCTGTTGTAACGCGACTGTAACTATCGTATCGTACACTCTTAGTCATCATTCGTTTCCTGAAATGATTTACACCAGTTTACACCAGAAGATAGCACTTAACGAGGCGTTTTAGTCATAATTTTGGCGAATTTTAAAAAATCATTAACAAGACATTAAGTGCTTAAATTCATGGATTATATTAAGAATAGTGCTGTTGAATGCATTTTGCATTTATTTTCATCATGATATTTCACAAGTATTAGAAATTAATTTAAAAAAACCGACTTCAAAAAGTGCAGATGTCATCACCACATCTTAACCAAATTTATATGGGACCACCCCTGAAGTTACCCCTTTCTAACAAAAAAAGAATCATATAAATAGGACGAGGTGGTAAAGCATTATCGCTAAACATACATAAAAAATTAAGAGTTTGAGGATTTCCTCATGGACCCAATTATTAGATTTTGACCAAATATATATGGGACCACCCCTGAAGTACCCCCTTTCTAACAAAAAAAGAATCATTGAAATCGGACTACGTGTTGAAGAATTATCGCTGAACATACATAAATAAAAAAAAATATCGCGACGAATTGATAACCTCCTCCTTTTTTGAAGTCGGTTAAAAATTTAAAGCCCTTTAATTTTTTTCTAGGAAACTGAAAGGAATTAAAACTTTAAAATTTATGCATATTCTAGATATTGGGTCCTATGATTGAACGTTTACGTTATCCGTAACGTACATGTTAGGCCGAATTTTAACAGTAACGAGGCAAGTTCGTATGAAGGAAAAATTTTTCCAATACATTACTGTTATTTTCCGTCTGTTATATTCTAATTTAACAGTTTTCCATCATACGAATTTGCCTCGTTACTCTTAAAACTTGGTCTAACATGTACGTTACGGATAACGTAAACGTTC